TCAATAACAGCATTATTGTTTTTAGGTGTTTGTGCCGGCCGAACGTGATGTTGGACTAAGAATTATGATTCTGATCACAGACGGTGAAGACTCAACAAATGTTCGTGTTGAACACATTCTAGCCTGGGAAAATGACATTGAGGTGTATGCTCTTGGAGTAACTAACGGTATGTCTATAACACTGTTTTGCCCTTTTTCTTCGCTCAAGAACCAAAAAAAAAAAAAAAACCACAAAGCAAAAAAATGTTTCAGCTAAAAAAAACTATGGAAAGCCTCTAGAACACTTTTTAGAAATATAGTTTCTCACACAAAGAGTGATTTTAAAAATGTGCTTCAGCGGTGAATTATGAAGAATTGGTCAACGCCACCGGTGACCCATCAAAAGTTCTCAGTGTTAGCAACTACGAGGGTTTGGCTAGTGCATTGCGAAACGTTTGCCAAACAATCAGTAAATTTTATATTTTACAACAGTCCTATTACTTTTCAAAAGAATTGCTGTTGATATCTAATTGACTTGTGAACTGTCAGTTGAAAACATTCTGATTCAATCTTTGACAGATATTTAGTTCTTCATTTTGAGTGCAGTAAAAAATGGGTCTTACAGTTTGTCACTCAGCTTATGGTTACATTCTTCTAAAAAAAAATTAATTATTAATTAGCTTGTTTCAAAATACTTTACTCTGAAGACCTTCTAAAAAAACTTGGTACTGTTCTCCAAACCGGTTTTATCAATAAGATATGTGTCTCGTTGCTAAATATATCACAGAGTTTGTCAAACAACAAAGTAATAAGGAATATAACAACGCGATAACGCAGCTAGAAATACAGATAAATAATTTAACCGATACTGTTCCTTGCAGACCCACCAGAACCTGTCCCTGTGTCGACGACTTGTGGCTGCGACAAAGTGTCCCAAATGAAACAAAACAATTATTGGCTAGATATGATCTTTGTTATTGATACTTCTGATGGCGTGAGCAGTCAAGATTTCGTATGGGTAATAATATTTTTCAACACAACAGTTGTTTTCCAACTAAGTTTATCCGTATCTCTGAAAACCTGTAAATTTCTTATTTAAGATTAAAAATATGCTGACAATGGTATCTTCTTTTAATCTTAACAAAACCACAAACAATGAACATTACTCTCGCATGGCCCTTATCAGCATGGCAGAAGATGTCAGGTTTTGGTTAAAAATTAATAATCAAACAAAACTTGGAAATTTCTTTCAACTCTTATTTCATTCTGAGTTCAATCTTCAGCAAAAAATTTGTTAATTTTGATACGCAGCTTAAGAGTTCGTGAGTTTTTATTGAGCTTAACTTTTTTGCTTTAGGCAAAAGTAATTGCGGATTTGGAGACAAGAAGTAGTGCTGAAATGATCGGCATTATCAAAAACAAATTTGTGTGCCAGGGTGGACAAGAAGTTGATGTTCAGAAGTAAATAATTATAGTGTTCAAACTGCAGATTTGTTAAAGTTTACCACAGTCGGTTTTGACTTTTACTCTTGTGTTCTGAACGAGCTTTAGGGGGTTAGAACTAGCTCACGACATGATTTTGCGAGAAGAAAAAGCCCGACGACGTCTGAATGTTAAAAAAGTGGTTGTACTGCTCAGCACGCGAAGTACTGACTGTCATCTCAATAAAGCAAAGTCAGTTTTCGTCAGAGTGCAACAAGTTGTTAGCTTCTTAACGACAGATTTACTTCGTAATTCAAAAAAGGCTTTCAGTTTCATAAGAAATTTTTAAATCCAAGGTTGTTGAAGTCGAAAATAGCAGATAACGAGACCCGTGTTATTTGTCAGTTGGTATCCGTCATGGAAAGCGAGATGACTACAATTATAGCAGGCGGAGTAAGACTTGTAGGCACCGAAGAATATCCATACATTGATATCACTACAAAGTGTAATACGCTTGAGAACAATCGGGACATGTCCAAACAAATGATGCGAGCACTTTGTAGAGGTGACCATTTTCTAGCAATAATTAAATTTCATTCTTGTAGCTGTAAAATATACTAGAAATACGATTAAAATGAGGAAGCAATTTAGTTTAATAATTGGAATATTATTGACTTAGTTAGGAGAAAGCTCTCATAGTGACTTAAGTGACACAGCTGACTTCACGCGCTAATAAAACTCTTCTTTTAGCGAACTGCTACTGTCCAGATGATTACACACAACTGACGAAAAACTCCGACAACTGTGTCAAATATGCAGAATGTTATCACGTTAACTCGTTTTCCTTACCTCAGCAGATGGCAAAATCGACATGTGAAGAACTCGGTGGAACACTTCCAAATATTGTCAGTTCTGAGAAAGAAGAGTTTATAAATGGTAAACTTAATCTTTTGCAGCTGTAAACTCATTATCATTCTAAACAAATATATAATACTTCGGCGTTTAAATGCAGTCAGAAGTTTTTGTTTGTAGAACTGCACAAGACAGCTGGGTTCTTCCCATTCTGGACAGATGCTACATGTTTGACTGCCGAGAACTGTTCATACACTGGTAACTCAGTGGTAAAGTGAAATTTTCAAGTCTGTTACCGCCTAAATTTTAATTACAATTTACTATTAGTCCGAGTAAGTTGATGAAGATTTACAGGCCAGGTACAGAAACTGGTGCTCACAAAAAAAACAACCAAATTTCGGCAATGGAAATTGTGTGTATGAGGATCAATGCGTCGGTTTCAATGTAGGATGGTTTACCGGCAGTTGTGACGACTTTATGACAGATCGCTTCTTTACTTGTCAGGTTCCTGCATGTGAGTGAAACATAAGTTGTAGAACGATTTAGTTCCGTTATTACCATTTATAGACACCTTTTTTATTCTGCTTTTTTTGCTGCTTACTCGTCAATTATTCATCAAAAACATGTAAAAATAGAAAGGAAGCCCAATAACATGTTAGTTTGTCAATTTTTTCTTTCTTTGCCTTTTATTTAAAAAAGGTACAGGAATTATATTTCCAAAAAATTATTTTCAGGCTCTGTCGAGCGCTACTGTGAAGAAAGTTTGCGAAGAAATAAGGTTGCATCGTAAGCGACATTTGAATAGAGTGCTGTTTCATTTGAATAGAGTACTCTTGGCCAAAGTGTTATTTTCTGCTGCTGGGAACAGCTTAATTTATTTAGCGGCTATCAATGATGTTCAAAAGGGGGACAATAAAAAATTTTTTTAGCTAAAAAAATTTGCAGTAAATCTACAGCAGCTGAATTGTAAGTGAACGCATACTTTTAAGGTGTGTAATCCTTACCCTCTAAGTAATTCTCCACCGAACCCTTTGACGTATAACCTAAATTCTGCAATCTTTAATGATAACCTTAGAATATTTTCAAAAGAAAACGAATTAAAGGCTTTTGACATAACTGGAGTATTCCGCCGAACAATGTACAACACTCATAACAATGAAGTCAGTATACAGAAAACCGCTTACATATATCTGAAGGTGAAGACAAATTACACTGTCAGGGTTATCAAATTAGCTGACAGAAAACAGGAAACAGCATTAAGCTTGTTGACTCATAATCAAAAAATTAATCTTAATACCAACTAACAACAAAGTAGATTATTAATAAATTTTTTAACATTTGCACTGAAATGGTTCAAAAGACAGCTTCAAAAAAGCTTTAAAAAACAGCTCTATAAGATTATGAAAAACAAACTTATCATTGCAGTAGACCCCGTACCTGAAATTACATTTTGACGAAAGAAACTGCTGTACATTTATGAGAAAAAAAAGTTTTAGTAACTTTTAGGAGACATCATATACCTTATTAAACGTATCAGACATTCTTCTGTAAATAATAGAGTACCATTTTGATCCATAACAATTTGCAGATTATCACTTTATTTTAACAGACCAAATTTTAGCAGGTTTTATAAGTGGTCATTGAAATGAGAGCTGCAGAAACCAATACAAAGCTACCAACGTAGTAACAACTATGATATTCCACCAATTTAGCAGTGCGCAAGCCTACCTGTCGCAAAATTGTCAAAATCAGTTTTATAAACCCTAAACCACAAAATTTTTGTCCCATCAAGAAATAAATTAAAAGTTTTGAGAAGAAAATAATCAGTAAACAACGGTTCTTAAGAGTAATACAAACAACTGCAAAATTTCCTTATCTGAACTTTTACTGTATTCTACAGTGATCATGCTGAAATATAATTTTCTACATCAGCAAACCTTCAAATACATTTTTTTCAAACTTTTATTGATTAATTCTAATTTCAACAACACTTTCATTTAGCATTATCCTCATTAACACTTACAGAAGTTGTTTTAAGCACTTCAAAACTGTTCACTTAAAACATAATTGTTACCTGAGGCTGATAAAATATTAATTTTTACGATCAATGCAAAATTGATGCCTACCTTTTGTTCACTAAGTATCCGACTATCGTAAAACATCAGCTTTTCATTGAAAAAAAGAAGCAACTCTAAAATTAGATCACTTTCTGAACTGTGAAAAAAGACTTCTGCATTGCTTAATACCCGCCAGCGACACTTTGATTTTATAAAAGTTCCACTGCTTTAGCTCCTTCTTTTCTTTTTTTTTTT